CAAGAGGCTACAGTGAAGATCGAACTTGACATTATCGATCTGTCTGCTTCGCTTCCACAAGCAAGCGATTTCTAGAGTCAACGATAATGTCAAGTTGTGATAAAGCGCCTGATTTTAAATCAGACAATTGTAAAAAATGTAACCTGTGTTGTATTTCGTGAAAAGTTGGGGTAGGCGGGGAGATTTAAAACTTTTGTTGAAATCTAGGCCAAATAATATATTCGCTTAGATTCTCCATTTCTCGTTTGCGTGCCAGCAAGATTGCGCACGTGTGTCTAAATGTCCACGAGCATGTGTCCGGACAAAGGTGGCTCGGTAATGGGGTGGGGAGCGCCAGAGAAAAAAAGGCGTGTAAAAAGCTTAAGTAACAAAGTGACATCACTCCTATATATCACTTTAAGTACGATCCTTAAGCAGTCAGACGAATATATTTTAATCATTTCACTCCTTACAAGACAGTAAAGCCACTAAGACACAAGGGCTTACTGAGTGTGAAAGAATAGGAGAAAAAAAAAGAGATATTATTAAGAAGCGAAAACAATAGAAGAGTAATCAAGAAGACAGTTCACAAGCAAGAAGTTCGAGAAAAAATGTTAGCCTATAAATAACATTTCTTTTTAAGTATTTCACCCCAAGCAAGGCGGGAGTGCCACTAGCACGCAAAGGGTTACAGAGAATGGGAGCAAGAGTAAAGAGGCGTGATAGAGGAAAGGATGAATAGAAGGACGGGGAATAGATCAAGGCATCTAGGGATATCGATTGACATTACATTTGAATATTTGGATATTATAGCTATCAGAGAAGCAAGTAAGAGGAAGGGAGTTCAACAGACGGGAAGTACATGAATCTATTGGAGTAGAAGAGACGGTTACAAATAACCGTTTCGTCAGTGAAAGAGTGGGACTAGTAGCACGTTTAAATTCATGCAATTTGGGAACTAGCGAAAGTAGCTAGTCGGAGCAGTTACCGTGAAAGTATTTGTAGAAAAGACGGAGCTAAGCGGCGGCATGTCTGTGAGAGAACGACTGTAAACGAGATTCCAGATCAGAGCCAGTTACATTGCATATCCGTCTCTGGATTTTGTCGAGGACCTTAAGATGAACAGCAGGGGCTCCAGACCATATATGGCAGCAGTATTCCATGCAAGGGCGAATGGTTGATTAATAGATTTGAAGTATAGACTCGGGCGAGAAAAATTTTCTGGCGCGACACAGAGAACCAACTTTCCTTGCAATAGATGAAGCTATTGATTCAATGTATTTGTTCCATGCGAATACATTTCGCCAATTCAACTGTAAATTAATGAGACCATGTTGTCAATCTATTACTGAGTTTAAATTCATAAAGTCGGGGTACCATCATTCAAACAATTACCATGAAAGTATTTTTTAGAAAAGGTACAGGGAAGCTACATTACGGCGGTGGGAAAGTGACTGAAGCCGAGATACCAGTTCAGGACCGATAATATTGCAAATTCTTCTATGGATTTTATCAAGACTTTCTAACTAAATATATAACAGGAGCACCGGACCATATGTGTCAGCAATATTCAAAGCATGGATGAATGATAAACTTATAAATATGCTAGATTCTGGAGCTAAAAATTATCTTCCATGACTCATTGTTATATTCACGACATTTCGGCCGTTGGACACATGTTCCAGTGGATAAAAGCGTTGGTTGAAGTAATCCAGTTGTGACTACAGAGGTGAAAAAAAATGGAGAGTTGAGAAAGGAAATAACTGAACCTGAAATTTTTCTGTCCAAAAATGGCACGGCGCGTGGAACTAGACGAAATAAAGGGGTCGGTTCGAAATGCCAATGTATATCAGCTGAAGACCGGAGAGTACAACAAGGCAGTAAAGCAAAACTTGTATAAAAGAGGAATTGATACCTATATATATATATATATATATATATATATATATATATATATATATATTAGTATAGACTGTCTATACACCAGAGTTGAATAAGACTAACGTATTTCTCGTTGGTTGAAATAGATCTATATCCCCATATGAGGTAATTTGGGACTTTGTTGTGTAATTTATATGCTCTGTTATAATAATTACATTGAGCACTTTTTGTGGATCCGTTTTAATATTTGATATTACTAGGATCCACTTTATATACCAACGGATTTATTACCTGTTTTTTCTCTCTCTCTTTATATATATATATATATATATATATATATATATATATGTATGTGTGTGTGTGTGTGTGTGTTTCCCTTGCTTCTGATAGTTGAGTGTCAGTTTGTCAAAATATTGTTTAACACTTTGACTATTACTAAAGCTTCTTACTCCTGATAATCCTTCATATGAAGAAAAATATTTTGAGCTCTATTCTAATGAAGAAGAAATTAACTTCAATTTTGAGTAATTTATATCAAGTTCCAATCTCTGCTTCACTGCAGTTATGAGGATCACAGGATTTGTGGCGATTGCTTAGACAATTGTAAAGGGTACAATGTAAACCCAAGCCTATTTAGGGAAGGAACCAAAACCCGTCAAGCCCAGATTAAAAAAGACGGGTGGAATTATTAAAATTCTCATTTTCTAAGTAGGAACCCCTTCCTCACTTAGAAAATTGGCGTTACAAACCCCTGATCTTTTGCCTGTTTAATCTCTTAATCTTAGTAAGTATGGAGGACATCTAAGCCGCCATCTTGTAAAATACGCTCATGTAATACATTTTTTTTATCTCGAAATTATAGTAACCTAATCTGAGATTTACGATAAATTAACTACTTTGAATAAAATTGTAAATGTAAATAAAAACATGTATTTCTGAAGTAATCTTTTAAGCAATGTTTTTTTTTATTATTTAAAAATAAAATAATATAAAAAATGTCGTAAGGTCAATATGTTTGGATTTAAAGTTTATTGTGATCTTAGGTACAGCGAGATAAGAGTAGCACTTAGCAAACTAGAAAAGACGATCTTGAATAAAAGTATCAAAAGTTCCCGTTGGACACTGCAGTTAAATTTACACATTTGCCTTTTCTCGCTACTGACCAAAGCACAATGTTATTTAGCTCGTGATGTCGAACAGGAACTGTATTTATCAAGTTACTAATGCCGATTTTATCGTAAGCAAAATTACATTTATCACTCGGGATTTTGCGTCGAAGTACCAAACAGACGTAATCTAATAGACATAAAATCATTTTCCTTCAAGATACGTCAGTAATAGCAGTAATAATATGCCTGTGTATGTTTGTTACTATAAACACAGTGATTTTTAACCGCTATTACCGTGGCACACTACTGTGACACGCGATCCGCTTAAGTGTGCCACGAACTATTGTCACGCCGTATATTGTCACGATAATTTTCTACTTCTTTATGTGAATTCAGCTTCTCAACCCTAAATATCATTAAAAAAAAAAAAAAAAAAAAGTAAGAAAGACTACGCTCAACTGAAGAAGAAATGAGCGTTTGCTTATCACACATTCGACGAAACATTTAAAGGAATCACTGAAAAAAAACATCAGGCACAGGTTTCACACTAACGCTGCACAGATAGTTGAATAGAAGCATTGAAATAAAATAAGTTCATATTTGTGTGTATATATATATTTTTTTAAATCTATGGTTTTATTTCATATCATTTAAATGTATAACCTTTAGAAATGTTGCTAAGTGTACCGTGATATTTTCATTTTCTCCTAGGTGTGCCATTGCTTAAAAAGGTTGAGGAACGTTCTGTAAGAAAAATAGCAATTTCTGTTAGTACAAAAACAACATTATTATCATTTTTGTTAGCTTTGTTAAATTATGCCTTTTGCTCAGTAAATACTGGTTTGTGTGTGTATGTTTGACGAAGGTGATAGTCATGACACGAGACTTAGTATGTACAACTCGAGTTCTGTCTTAAAAGGTAAATAAAAATGTCAACTTGATGACAAACCGAATACGTCGACGCCCTTGTCATGTTGCCTTGCTTTAAATATAGAATATCATTTATAGCTGCCCATGCGCCCGCTTTACCTACGTTTTTCTAACTCTTTTTCTTTTGGCCCCTAGCAGATTTTTCTCCCTTTCCTAAGGCCCGGCCACCACATTACACAATCTATCCCGCCAGAAAATGCTCTAACTTGGAGAAATAAAGCAATTTCCAGTCCAATCAGACCAATAGTTTCCGTGTAATTTTAAAAACAATTAAGCATAACTTGACATAAAATATCTGCCCAAGAGATATAATTTTCATGTTTATTACCTGCTAATTACAATGTCATGTCACTTAACAAGAAAAATAAGAACCTTTGATCTTTCCGCACTCTGTTCCGTCAGCCATGGTGGCAAATCAGTGATAATAGTTTAAAGATAATAATAGCAACGACAATAATAATAAGGATTATTAATAATTAACATTTACAAAGTTATATAATATAAATATCTGTTAAAGAAGTCAATAGATTTATGTGACTCTGATGAGCGAACCAGTGTCACTGCGAAGCTTCAAATCAGTAGATAACTTGTTTGAATTTTTAACATTCTTGTTACTCTACTTGTCGTTTTTTTTTTTTTTTAAATATTGAACACTTTATTTACAAAAACTTTGCTCACCTTGAACGCATTAGCCACCAGTAATTTACTAGTCGACGTCTTTTGTTAGGCAGAAACGTTGTTATTATTCTATAATATTGTGGGATTACCTCAACCTGTCAGCTAATGAACTTCGTTTAACGCCGCTAGGTGGCGTTCTATTCAGGACTATAAAAGAAAGGAGCATAAATCCCGCCTCTCTCTTTTGCTCATTCGGTTATAGGATGTGGTATGCAGAAGACGTGTCCAGTAATCCCGCCGGAGGTGATTTCTTTATCCGGAAAAACCGACTTCTTAATTTCACAAAACCACGTAGGACACTCACGCACACATTCATACACACACAAATACTACTGCTAAGTACATAAATGTTTTTTTCCTTCTTTTTGCTATCTGCATACACGTAAATGTAATTCTCTATTTCTCTTCTTTTGTGAGTTGGTCTTACGGCCACAACACGTTGAAACCCCGGTTCTCGTACGACCTCCGAAGTTAAGCAATGTCGAGCTTAGTCAGTACCTAGATGGGTAACTGTTTGGGAATACTAGGTGCTGTGAGTTTCGATGTGCAGATGGTGTAATGGATAATGGCTCGGAATTGTTAATCGGAGAGTCGAGTTCTAATTCCAATCGGATCTGTTATATTCACTTACGCGCAAATACCCTTAGGAAAGGTATAAATCCACCCCTTTTACCTGTAGCTATATATTTTTTAAATCTATGGTTTTATTTCATAACATTTAAATGTATACCCTTTAAAAATTTTGCTAAGTGTACCGTGATATTTTCATTTGCTGCCAGGTATGACGTTGTTTAAAAAAGTTGAGAAACATTGCTGTAACAAAAATAGCAATTTCTGTTAGTACAACAACAACATTATTATCATTATTGTTAGGTTTGTTAAATTATGCCTTTTGCTCAGTAAATACTGGTTTGTGTGTGTATGTTTGATGAAGGTGACAGTCATGACATGAGACTTAGTATGTACAACTCGAGTTCTGTCTTAAAAGATAAATAAAAATGTCAATTTGATGACAAACCGAATACGTCGACGTCCTTGTCATGTTGTCTTGCTTTAAATATAAAATATCATTAATAGCTGCCCATGCGCCCGCTTTACCTACGTTTTTCTATATTTTTTTTTCTTTTTCTTCTAACCCGTAGCAGATTTTTCTCCCTTTCCTAAATCCCGGGTACCACGTTCCACAATCCCGTCATAAAATTCTCTAACTTGGAGAAATAAAGCAATTGAATCATTAAAATCATTATTATGTCAAAAACAAAAAATAAAATTGCGTCCAGAATATTTAGATTTCGGCATTAAATAACCCATAGAGGTGTCGATATGTCGCTAAAAAAACAACCGACAAATTTTTCTGAGCTTTGCTGTCATATATATATATATATGAAAAGATGCTGCCTAAATATACACACACAATATATATATATATGAAAAGATGCTGCCTAAATATACACACACAATATATATATATATATGAAAAGATGCTGCCTAAATATACACACACAATATATATATATATATGAAAAGATGCTGCCTAAATATACACACACTATATATATATATATATATATATATATATATATATATATATATATGAAAAGATGCTGCCTAAATATACACACACTATATATATATATATGAAAAAGATGCTGCCTAAATATACACACAATATATATATATATATATATATATATATGTGTGTGTGAAAAGATGCTGCCTAAATATACACACACAATATATATATATATATATGAAAAGATGCTGCCTAAATATATACACACTATATATATATATATATATATATATATATATATGAAAAGATGCTGCCTAAATATACACACACAATATATATATATATATATATATATATATGTGTGTGTGAAAAGATGCTTTTCTAAATATACACACACAATATATATATATATATGAAAGATGCTGCCTAAATATGCACATATATATATATATATATATATATATATATATATATATATATATATGTGTGTATATTTTAGACAGCATCTTTTCATTCATACACGTTTCATTAAATAATATAGACAAGTGTTATCTATTTATTTTATGTAAATTTTTTTTCGTAACGTCTAATAAGTTTAATAACATTATCGTTGAACGAAGAAAGAAATTCACAATATTGATCCATTTTTTTTTTTCATACAATCTAAGCTTTCGGCTTACATAAGCCATTATCAAAGATGTCAATTACAACATATTAAGCAAATATACGGAGAAGACTGTAATGATAGTCTGTCATTGTTTACATAGATGATTTCTAAGCAACGATAAATATATATATAACCTTGCATGTGCTGAAATTATTTACTTTGAAAGTCTTCATCAGTAACAAGTAGTAACCACTCTGCTAGAATATCAATTCTATAATCAGGAAGCAATTTACTTTTACATTGACCGGAGGTCGCTACATTTAAGCGAGTACTATATTAAAAATCATTTCTACATTTGTCTGGCCGGCGCAGACGTGCATCCATTTATCAGTTAGTTTCAGCTTAGGTTTGCTTGGCTGAATTGGAGTAACATTTTGCTAAGCGTCACTTTAGGTGAGAGTTTCCGACAACCGCGGTCGATAAACAAAAGATAACAATGTTTATACGGCCTGATTTCTTTCTTCTTTTATGTGCCGTGTCCATTCAGGACGTAGGCAATCATGGATTTCCACTTCCCCCTATCCCTTCTAGTTTTCAATATGTTTTGTCCTTTTGATACTTCTCCCAGACCCTGTTCTGCACCCACTTGCTTAAGCCCGCTATGTATGTCACGCGTTGCTTTCCTTTGTCTCTCTCTTTCCCCCCTATCCGCTCTGTGAGTATCAGATTCTCCAAACCTTCCTTTCTCATTACGTATCCCAGAAATTTTTACTGTCTCTTCTTGATGCTGTATAAGCTTCCTCCTTCTTTGTATCTTCTCCAAAACCTCATCGTTGCTCACATGTTCGGTCCATGGTATCCTTAGCATCCTTCTGTAGAACCATACCTCCGTTGCCTCAAGTCGCTTCTTCATCTATAAGGATACCATTCAACATTCGGTACCATAAAGGAGGACATACATCACGTAGCAGTTCAGTACTCTTTTTTTCCTCCAGTTTCGTAATACTCTGCTTATCCTTTGGAATGCGTCTTTGGCCATCCCAACACGTGTTCGGATCTCAGACCCGCACTTACTGTCCCCTGTCAGAATGCTTCCCACATACTTAAATTTCCACACTTGCTTGATTTTAGTGTCTCCGACCTGTAAATCGCATTTCGGGCACATTTTTTTACTGCTGACCACGTCTTCTTGAAGTTTACGCTTAGTCCCTTCTTCTCGCTCTCCTTCGTTACCTTCCGTAGCAGATTTTGTAGTTTCCTTTCCGTGTCTGCTACTCTCATTGCAGACGACTACTGTTCGAGCTGTTAGGTTCTTCAGAGTCTATCAATAATTTTTTGCTACCATGTTCAAGCAGTCTAGGCGCGTATGCGTGAATAGGTAACTTTCACGCCAAAGGACAAATTTCACTCCAAAGATCGAGTTTCTTTTAACTAAGAGATAACAATCTTTCCTTATCATGTTCTATCAACCTGGACATCGATGTGTGAATAGGCAACTTTCAATCCAAAAGAACACGGCTCTTCTTTTAAATAAAAGGCAACGATCTCTTGATATCAAATTCAAGCAGTTTGGACGTCGATGTGTGAGTAGGCAACTTTCACTCCAAACGATGGGGTTCTTCTTTTTACTAAAGGGCAAGCTAATTAGCTACTAGCAAAAGTACGCTACGATTGTAATAACTAACGCTAGACGAGGAATAAATCTTTGGCGAGACTAAAATGCAAGCAAGTAAAAATCACGATACAATTTTATCTTGTTTATGACTACTGGTGTTACTAATCTAGTCACACTAAAATTCATGAGCGAGAAGACTGGTCGGCATTGGGATATCTACCAATCAAAAGATTAAACGACATTGTTAATAATAAGAGTAAATGTTACGTTTTAATTACTCTGATAAAAAGCCCATTTATACTAGTCTTGTGCTTATTTATCTGAACAAGAATTACCCTTTTTCTTCCTAGGATTAGAAGAATTTAACTCTCACAGGATATAGTGAAGGCAAAAGAAACAAAGCAAACAAGTAACGCATTTAACGAGTTTTTGTGGATACATGACAGAACTAGAAGGGGTGATGGTAAAGCCTCAAAAGTTACTTAGAACAAAAACAGGAAGTTGTGGAGTGCCGTAATCACCCACTGAAGTGATATTATTGCAGCATTAGAGTACAACATCTGTCCAATCTCAGGTTTCGAGTTGAGTTCAATTTCGTTTTCTGACCGAGAAAATTACATAACATTATTAAGCTGAGGGGAATTGAGGAAAAGCAAATGAAAGGAGAGAGAAAATAAGGAAGATTTAAGTGGGGGGGGGATAAGAAAGTGAGAAAAAAGAAACGAAAAGAAAAGAAGGAAAGAGAAAAAGTTAATGTGAAGATGCACTGAGCAATGGTCACTGTGATGTTATGTAATTAATATACTTACCAACACTGTATCTGGGCCAAATACAAGGACCGTACCAAAAGTAGGTTTACGGCCACATCAAGTTGAAACACAGGTTCCCGTATGATCACCGTAGCAACGTCGAGCCTCAGTACCTAGATGGGTGACTTCTTGGGAATATCAGGTGCTTTAAGATTGGATGTGAGGGTGGTGTAAAAGATAATGGTTAGGAATAGTTAATCGGAGAACCGAGTTCTAAATTTCGGTCGGTTCGTTTTGTTCTTTTAGACTCAAATACTCTTTGGAAACGTATGAATCCGCCTCTTACCCCCCAGGTATGGATTTATTAGTAAAACCTGCATCACTAAATTATTATTATCTCAAAAAAATTCTCACACACTAAAAAAAATTATGGCTTTAAATAACCTGCAAATGGTTGATAATCCGTAGAAAATGAATCAATCAAATCGTACCGAAAGTAATGCCTATTGCTTTATTTTGTTGACTCACATCAGAAGTGAGGGTAGTGTGTGTGTGTGTAAATTAATGCATGTGTAAGGAGGAAAACTTGGGTGGTAGAAAAGCTACAGAAAAACGAAAAGAAAACCATATGAATGGGTGTGTATGTATATATGTATGTATTTTTTCGTAATGGCATGCTTTGAATTCCCGAGTTTCACTAGGGTGTGTAAATCAAGAATAAAAAGTTGAAAATATTGTCTTTTGCAATTGAAAAAAAATAAAAACTATCGTCTTTGCAATTGAAAAAATAAGAAATATTTTAAAATAATTGTTCGGATTTATTTATTTTGATTGATTTGTTTTTTACGGCTTATCAACCTTTTGCAATTTATTTAAAGCCAGAAAATATTTTTAAATTGTTAGAATCTTTGGGAAAATAATAATGATAAAAATCCTACTAATTAATCCATAGCTGAGGGGAGAAGAGGTGGATTCATACCTTCTGTAGGGATATTTGCTCGAAAGTGAATATAATGAACATGACTGAATTTGGTTTTGTGGCGAAATTGTC